CACATCACTGGTACACACATCGGAAGTGAAACCAACACCACTGACTGAGAACACAACATGACTGAGAAAAGATGAAAGAGAGTGGAGATGGAGCTGAAGAGAAATGCTTTTCTCTTTTCCTATTTTTGACATGATGCACACATAATCCATCACACACATACACACACACACCCTGAAATGTCATCCCTACTGCTAGAATAGTTTGCAGTCTGCAATTACTGTCTTTGGAGCCAGAAGCCATTATTAACTAGGTAATACATCCACACACATACACACACACACACACACACACACACACACACACACACTGACAGCTGAGCTACACACACACAGTTGGCACCCACCTGTGGGACCAGTGATTGAAGCAGGCAGCTCTCATCATCGTTCTTCTTCATCATAGTTCTGTCAGTGTCCCTGCACCACAGAATGAATATGTGTTGTAAGCCTGAATAGCTGCACACATCAGTGAGCCTGATGACTGATGGAGTGGACAAGGCATGTTCCCTTGTCAGAACTGTATCCATCTAGATACACCATACGTCACTGGAACAGAGTGACCTTTGAGATATTAGATTGCTTCAGACAAATAAAATCTGTAATACAAGGCAGTTATTACAGTTTTTACTAAATCAAAAGTCAACCTTCTGCATATTTTTTAAACTCCTCAACTTGGTGTAGTCAAAAGTTCTTAGTCAGCAAAACAGTTTAAGAAAAAAACAAGACTAGCAAGCCTAGTTTTTGTGGGACTGCAAAAAGCCGGCTGCATAGCATAAGTCGCACAAATGTCAATGGCATTCAATGGCATTACACTTCCCTGTGCTGTTTGAAAGACCTATGTGATAAGTGTGGGGAAAAAACACTTTAATTCAACATATGTATAGTGTGTTTCAACCTATAATTTCTCATCTGTGAAGAAAGAGTTTTCTGTTTTCTGGTTGTTGATACTATTTTCAAATGAGAAAACTCTTATTGGCCGACTCCATGTGGGGTGCGACTGGGCTGAAAACGTGGAGTAGGTATTGTAATTGGGCTGCTGTGTACAGCTCAAAAATGCCTGGAGTCAAAGATTATCTTCTCTGCTGCAGAGGAGCACAGTATGAGTAAGCCACCACACACTGGACGCACCGCGCAGCATTGTGTCACGTAGCAGAAGGCTGCTAAAGACTACATGCAGTGAGAGTGCCTATAAACAGATATTAAATTCCTTTTTAAACTCTACTCATTTAAATTGAATGTAATTAAACTTTCAATATAATTTATGACGCTTGCCATTAGTTTACTACCTTTTCACAAACTCACTGTTTTCAAGCTGAAATTTATGAGATGACAAAAAAGACTGTGCTAGTAATGTTAGCTGTAGGTAAAGACTATTTTCTGCTTAATAAGCATTTGTCTGTCTGATAGCCTTTCTCTGTGTAAATTTCTCCTGTGGTTGCCTCTTTCTCTGTGGTTGCTTCGTTAATTGCTTAATTTTGTGGGTGGATTTTTACTCAGTCCACCAATTTAATCTTTGTTAATTTCCACCCACAGACTACAAATCCTCCTATGACAGTACCCTCAGCCTAACTAGGAGGGCTGAGGTATCTCCAGGAATCAGACCTATGATCTCTTGATGATTAGGCAGTTAGACAGTTATGCCACTTAGAGCCTATAAACCACAAAGTTGCTTAAACTACTGGATCCAAAAAAACAATAAAAAGGTTAATTATCTCAGTGAATGCTGCCTGTGCTTAGATAAACAACAGTTCCATGTGGCACAACTGTCTAACTGAATGGACAAGAGATCATGAATTCAAGCCCCAGTGATGCCTTTTAAGCTAGCTAGCTATGGATAGATAGATCTTTATTGTCAATGTTAAAAACAAAGAAAATGGAAAAACCATTTAACAGCTCTAGAATTGACAGCAGAGACATAAACAAAAAGAAATAAAGACAAATAAAGCAAAAGACATAATATAGACACAATAAAATAGTATATACAACATACTAGTGCAAAATGAAATGATATATAGTGCAAAATGAAAGATGTCTCAGTCTAGTCTCAGTCTTAGTCCTAGTTACTAACAATTTAGTTTTTCATTCAACTCCTAAAGTATAAGCCTAAATTACTAAATCTGATAATCCACACAGCTTTCTAGCAGTTACCCAGAATAATGTGTAGCCAAGCAAAACTTCTCAAGATCACTTTTAAATTTGTGCAAAAACATTCTTTGTGTAAACAAATACATACTACCTAAATAACAAATAAACTGTCACTCTAAGCCAGAAGTTTGAACTTTTGATGTTTTTGTAAGGCCCATGATGTGTTTCAGTAAATGCATTTTCGGCTTTCCTGTGTTTATATTTCGCTTATTGCAACATATGACTCGATCAGCTCAAATAAATAATTGCAGTGATTATGTTAAAATTGTGACATGCCTAGTCATATCCTACCGATAACAGCTGTAGAGCTAAAGAGTTGAGGCAGTACTTGGTTCATGCAGTCACTGTCACTGTCTAAGCAGTATATCTAGCTTAATTAGTACAATGGAAATAAAAATCCCCCCTCAAAAAAGAAATGCTAACAAGTCTGCATTTGCATGAGCAGGCACCTCCAGCAGTCTCCACTATGAATACTGCTTGTCCCTCGACTAGCTTTTGAAGGAGATGGTTTAGTACATCTCCATTATTCCATTTTCAAAGCAAGACTATGTTTGAGAGGAGTCTTACCATGATGGCTGAGGATTAACAGGCCATTACTGGCCAGCTGGCAGACATGCTGTCAAGCCTCATCACTTAGCCATAGTTAGCCTGAATTTCTTTGTTTTCTTGTGCTCTGTCAAATACATTCATGGCTAAACTGTTAACTGCAACAACTCAATAATGAAATTCTTCTGCTTTTCTAGTATTCAATTCTTTTATAATTTGAATGACTGTAAATAATTGAGCTGTAACATTTCCACATTTGTGTGTGTGTGTGTGTGTGTGTGTGTGTTTCTGTGTGTTTGTGTGTGTGCATGTGAGTGTGTGTGTGTGTAAGTAAGTAATTAGCAGTGAAGCAAGACCTACCTCTGCCTGAACACTGTATGTGTGCAGGGTGGTGTGATGCTAATTGGGCATCCCTCAATGGCTGCCACCCCTGCCAAGAAAAATTCCTCATCAAGTCTAGCAGAACATTACTGTTCCCTCTTTTTCACATTCATTCTCACATCCTCTCTGTACCTCTCTCTTTTCCTGTCTTTCTGAATCTCTTTCGCTTTGGGGCCAGTTATAAACCAAAACATTTGCAGAGTTCTGAAAAAAAGTGAGTGTTGTATCTTTTATGTTTATCCTGTATTTTTCAAAAAGCTATTCAATGATGAAAACACGAGAGACTCAACAAATGATAACACATTCCACTGATCTTGTATCTTTAGTTGTCCTGCAGTCATGAGAGCCCCCACTCTACAGAACCAAACACCACACAGTTTCAGATGATGCTTATGAATTAGCTGACCAGTCAACAGTCCAGAACCTGAGATCTCGCAAAACTTCTTGCGAACAAACGTGACTTTAGATCAAAACAAATATGGCAGATGACAACAATGCACAGATTACAGTGTTAAATTTAACAGCGTAAAAGTGAAAGAGTCAAAGAACGTGAATGAAAATATACATAAGGATAAAATTATTATTATTATTATTTTTCTTTTCATTATAGATTATAGACTCCCAGGGCCATAACTAGGATTAAAATGTTGGTGAGGTCCATTTTACAGAAAAGTGACCTACATCATATTTGCAACCTTGCAGTGGCACATTTGCAATTGCTACTTATTCAGCTCTTCACTTACCTTCTAAATAAGCTTCAATACATTATCAAAGATTCCACCCATCCTGTAGATAAGAATTTAAAATTAGTTAAAGGGGTAGAATGTTGCAGAATTAAAACAAAATAGTTCAAACACTCTTTTGTTCCTGCTGCTATAAATATATTCAACATCCAAGTTTTGGAGGTTTAATTGTGTACACTTTGTGATCAAAGGTGTTTTGTTACTTTTTGTGATAGCTTTATGGTTTTTGTATACTTTGTGTATGGGGTTATTTTGTGTATTGACATTGTTTTATTTTTAGTATTGTTGTGCGGGTATGATTTTGCACCATTAATCAACTGAATGTCCTAAATGGACTTGACTTGAATAGCCAAATGTTTGTATTACACCAACTGTCACCTTTAGTTTTTTCACCAATTCATTGTAGCCTTTTCTACCCATTCCTAATTGTTTTCTACCTTTCCCTTCATTTGTTCACTATCCTTCTTTCTTTCTTCCATAAACTACTGTATCTGTTCCATATTCTGATTTGACTCCAGTTTGGCATGGTAAATTTAACTTAATTAATTATTTAATTGTTTATTAACCATTCAATTTAGACTGAAAAAAAAACATGTTGAAAACTACATATACTAAATCAGTTCATACTTTTATATTGATTTTATTTATTTACCTCTCTTTGCCTCTCTTTCTGTCTCTGCTTGCCTCTCAGTCCTCACTGATTACTGAAAAAGTGTACATTAAAAGTGTGTTATAAAAGGCCCTCTTGTTATCTTCAAATTTACTAACTTCTTTTGTCCTTGGGGTCAATTTGACCCCAGCAGTTTAAACCTCCAAGAAATATAATCTGATAACTGCCCTCATAAACTCTCACATTTATATCAGTTATATTATATGTTAGCCTATAGTATGTGTGCTGCATCAATCTGGGTAGTGTAGCATCTCCTATAGAAACATAGCAGGCAGTGTGTGGCCAAACCACAGATGTTCTGAGGTCTGCTGTTAACCAGTCACTGCTTATTGGGTAGTCTCATAACCTTTTCCACATTGAAACCTGCCTGGAAAGGAACATCTTTTGTGTTTGTCGTGAGGGGCAAATCGGCCTCAAAATCAGGCACAGAGTCAGCCTTATGATCCTGTAGTGTGGAGCTTTAACTTTCTTAAATGATTAAATGCTACTGATCTCTCTGTATGTTTGTGTGTTCACAGACAGATGCAGCCCTGATGTATGATGCGGTGCATGTTGTAGCAGTAGCAGTGCAGCAGTCCCAGCAGATCACTGTTAGCTCTCTTCAGTGCAACCGACACAAACCCTGGCGCTTTGGAGCGAGGTTCATTAGCCTTATTAAAGAGGTACACACAACAATACACGCACAGTATGTGAGTTCTATATGTGATCTTAAATGACCTTCCTTTGAGAGCTGTCACAGTGCCCTTTAGTGGCTTTGGGGGTGATGCAACATAGAATGTTTATTTAAATCAGCCAGTCACTGCATTTCATGGATGTTTTTTTTAGTTACGTTTGGCTTGCTAGGCCTCTCCAGTCATTCATTTTCGCTGACAAGGTGTGGGACTTAATTCAACTTTTGGTCTGCTTTATCTAGGCCTTATCCTAAATGGATTTTTATTTTATCCATTTTATTCAAAGTATGCTGCATAATAAATCATTACCTGTGAAAGCCAAGACAGTTTTACAAGTGAAATCAAGATGTCATTTTAAAGGAAAGTCTTTAAAACTGCTGAAAAGCCATGAACTGACCTTTTTTCCCCCAACATGATTTAATATTTAGTTTTCTTCCCTTTCTTCTGCATCGTGTATGAACTAAATGTCACATCTAGATGTGTAAGCCTGTGCTAATTGCATCTATATGTTCATACCTTTTCCTTGTACAGATATACTGGATCATATTTACACACAGCTGTTTATTTCTTCTTTCTTTGTTGTGCCTCTACTGATTTTGAGGCAGCATCATTGTAGGTAATTGGTGAAAATAGCACATTCTACTTTTTTCTTTGTTACTCTTTCTATCTCATATACTTCAATCTCTCTCTCTCTCTCTCTCTCTCTCTCTCTCTCTCTCTCTCTTTCTCTCTACTTTACTCTCTGAAAGCTTTGAAGTCAGACTTCAGAAACATCCAGCTTCAAGAACAATAAAGCTGACAGTCTCTTTGTAGTGCTCCACTGTGTCCAGATGCCAGCAGCTTGTGCTTTTTGATCACCCTTCTCATTATCACAGAAAGAAAGCCTCGTTGAATGTGTGTTCATAGAATGTTAATTCCTCTGTTATAACATATTTGCAATTGTGTAATTGAATGTATATGGTCTTTTTTTAAAAGGCTTCTTGGGATGGACTGACAGGGCGAGTTCTCTTCAACAAAACAAACGGCTTGAGAACAGATTTTGATCTAGATGTGATTAGTCTGAAGGAGGATGGACTGGAGAAGGTACTCTGTGGAAGTGTGTGTGTGATTGTGTGGACTTATTTCAGTTCAGTTGTCCATTATTGTCATAATAAAAGTACAGCATAAAGAAAACTGTTTTTGCTGTTCTGCATGATATAACACAAAACTCATAACAAATGACAAAAATACAAAATGCATGATGGAACAGTAGACCTCCTAAGCACCACGCCATGGACAAGTACCGGCCAATGGATTGTTTGGCACTGGACTGTAGAGCTTTTATTAGGCATAACATTTTGGTCCAAACCTGAATGTAACCTGAATAAGACCCGACAAACAGCATCACATTTTGTGTCTGAAAGCAACCAAAGCCCAGCTACATTTTGTCCTGACCTAACCTGACCCAAACCACATCATGTTTTGAGTCTGAAACTGTGCTAGCACATGCGTCCTCTGAGTCGTGTAAACCAGCCACTGCATCTTTTCAAACTGCCACAACACATCATTACTGGACAGCTGAATGCACTTGGAATAGAATGCTAACTGCCAATTCTCCAGATTGTTGGTAGTGAGGGTTTGTAGGAATATTTCGACTGGGCTACTACAATGTAGCAGTGAGCAGGGGCCTTTAGCCTTATTGCACATCCCTGTTTGCCCTTGCATGTGTGAAGTTTAAGTTGCTTTAAGGGAATGTTGGTTTCTGTCAGGTAATCACTATCTAGTGACAAGTGAAGAACTTTTCTGGTCTTCAGCCTTGACAGTCACCAAAACAAGGCTCTGTAACAGGCTGGATGCCAAAAACACTGCATTTGCCACACAGATATAACACCACACTATAACTGCCTTGTCTCTGTATGTTAAAGGTGCATTAAAATTTTTTAAAATTTGTTTTATTGTGTTAGTTTGAAATGCGATTTTGTTACAGATTGTATGGATTGACTATATACACCAGCAAAATATAGGCTAATAACATAACATGATAAAAAGGTTGGGAAATACAAAAAGTACTGGACAAAGGACAGACAGTTAAATCTTAGAACTCTACAGTTAGTGTTTTAATTATGCGGTACAAAAGTAATTACACATTTAACACAATGAGTTACACAATGAGTTATACATTGAAGTATGATTTCATTAAATTTACATTCTGTACTAGCATGTTTGAATCAGCACCTTTTCTGTTTTGACATCAAGAAATGACAGAAAAATGGCAAAAATATAATTAAAGGCTATACATACAACTTTTCATCAAATTCAAATAATAATAAATATCTCCTCTTGTACTCTCTAACACAAATACGATATCAATTAAACATTTAAAATCCATACAGAATTTTTTTGCTTGTTTCAATTGACTACACTGAAAAATGACGATTCAAACAGTTTCACATGAATAATATGTTACCTCAGCAGAATTTTGTCTTTATGAAGTAAACTAGATGATGGCAATTGTGTCATAGCATATTTTATCCATGAGCATTACATTGATTTTTGTTTATTTAATGCAATGTATCATTAAAACATTTTAATCATTTAAATTCACCATTTGAGAATGAATTAATATCGAATTACGCAATGCTTATGTCAGCAGCTTCTAAGATTTGTGGCAGTACACATAGTTCAGTGCTAAGAGAGCCAGTACCATCAAAACAGTAACACAGATATATGTTTATGTTTTTTATGTGTGCATGTGTATTGTATTCACATGTTTCAGACATGTTTCTTGTTATTTTCATCCCTAGATTGGCACATGGGAACCTGTGAATGGTCTAAATATGACGGAACATCACAAGAGTAAAATGACCAATGTTACAAACTCCTTGTCCAACAAATCACTAAGGGTGGCCACTATTCTGGTAAACATACATTTCTGGATGCAGCGACGAACTGTGTTCACAGACAAAGGTTTTCAGAGCCCATGCAGTGATTTCCACTACACAATAGTGCCACAAATATTGAGATTACAGCCATCCAATATTGGTTTTGGAGTTTTCTCTGTATTCTCTGAATCTTTAATGATATTATGCACTGTAGATGACATTCTTTGCTATTCGTGTGTTGAGAAACATTATTCTTGAATTGTTGCACTATTTACCCTCACTACTTACCCTCTCAGTCTTTCACAGAGTGGTGACCCCCCCATCTTTACTTCTATCCTAATTAGTTGTGAGATGTTCCACTTTTTGTTTTGTTTTTTTAGCATTAAACAACTTTACCAGTCTTTTATTGCCCCTGTCCCTGCTTTTTTAAAAACATGCTGCTGGCATCAAATGGAAAATATCTCAGTTTCAACATTTGATATGTTGTCTTTGTACTATTTTCAATTAAGTATAGGGTTTAAATGATATGCACATTGTTGTATTGTTGTATCCTTTTTGGATAGTGGGTTCTGTATCTTTTAATAATTTCTTGAACCCCAGTTTTGGAAACTAGTGTTTTTAAACTTTTACTTTTTCATCTAATCTAATCATCTAATCAACAGTACAATAGGCTCACAGTACCATGGTTTTTGGGCCACAGTAACATTATAGACAAATAAAACTTTCCATTCAGAAAAAACGTTTTTTTCTCTGTACTGTATGAAATCAAGGGAAGAAAAACATTAAAATTAAAAGTGTTTAGCTTTGACAACCTGTAGGTCCTTTGCCTTCACTATTTTAAATGATTAAAGAAAGCTCGATAGGATGTCTGTCAATTTCTTTTTAGTTTCTCCCTGTGATGTTTCATAGAGTTCAGGAATTACCTTACTGCTGAAATGTGTGCAGGAAGGGACATTGTAAAGGCCCCTGCACACCGGACAGGCAACATCACATGGCACAGAGCTGCTATAGCTGCTAGTGAATTGTGCGACTTTGTCAACATGGCCTACTGTAGCATATATAGGGAGAGTTCTACATAAAATTGTAGGTAGGATTTTTTGAGAGCCTGAATCACATGAAACCGAAGTCAGCTTTTTATTCGCCAGCTTCTTGCTCATATTTTCCAAAACATCAGCTGTGTCTAAATCACCATGTCAGAAAATGCTACTAGCAATAAACCTACAGGTAGGATTTGTCGATAGCTTAAATCTCCTTATCAAAAAATAGTCCCAGCTTTAAAACTATGAAGCTGAAGTCGATTTCTTATTCAACAGCTTCTTTTTTAAATTTTCCCATTCCACCTTAAATGGTGCAGCAGTCTAGTAAGATTAGGTGAGGTAACATACCTTTAGCATTTGTCTGTTTACCTAAAAGACTGGCTGCTGGAGTCACAAGCACCGCTGCACGTCAATTCGATTTTTGACTCTGGTATGTGTACCTCCATTATAAACAAAGGATTTGAATTTGGGGACACAGAGTGTCTGGTGTGCAGTGGACTTCTCTCTATGATGCTAGCGCTCACCATTGTCACAGTCGGGCTCAGAAAATATTAGTTATTTCATTTTCCCACTCTTCTTCAGCTTGTAGGCACTGATAGGCTCCAGGGAAATTCTGATAACCTCCATAGATGCTTTGTGGATCTGAATGTACAATGTGTGTAGCCTGCAGCACAATAGAAAAGTTTTGGAATTTATAGGAAAATAACAGGCATATCATAATACTGCTTTTCATGTGTGAGTATTGAACCATTGCGGGCGTACCAAATGTTCGATAACGTACCATGTACTGTTACATCCCTAGATTGTACATATTTGTAAAAGTAATGACACTATAGCACCACCAGCAGCTAGGCTCATTCCTCACTATCTCTCTTTGTATTGTATTTGGTTTCTCTCAGGGTTTCAGTCTTCTCTCTCATGTCTGCAGGAAGAACCATATGTGATGTTCAAGAAGTCAGACAAGCCTCTGTGTGGAAATGACCGTTTCGAGGGCTACTGTGTGGATTTGCTGCGAGAGCTGGCCGCCATTTTGGGATTCCGCTATGAGATCCAGTTGGTGGAGGATGGAAAGTATGGCGCGCTAGAGGAAAGCACAGGCCAGTGGAATGGCATGGTCCGAGAACTAATGGACCATGTGAGTGTTCATCTCAGTTTCATATGGGTTGATGTAAGATCATATAAGATGAGAAAATGAAGCATAAACCAACAGACAGTCATGGGAAATCAGGACTGGCAGCCAATTTTTTACTGTTATAAGAAAAAATCTAAATCTTGTAAAGGGGCAGATGACAGTTGTTACAAGATGATCCACTACCTGAGGCTTTAGATAGAGATGCAAACAAAAAAGCTTTAATGTACTGATGCTTTTTCATGGTCAGAGAATTCATGGACCAGTGAGTTAGTGTTAGTTTCATATGGGCTGTGTTGTGGGTGTTTTATTGAATATCTGTTGTGGTGTTGTGCCATATCTGTACAAAACAATATTTCTGTTTGAGCACACTGAGCTCCTTCTGTCTGTCTTTATTAAAATAGCTTCTCTATAACTAGACCTAGCCTGTTGTGAAGGCATCTGTTTCCTTCTTCATCTTGTGAAAGAACTGGCAGCTTTGAAAGCTGCTGGAAATATTGATGATTTCTGAATATATTACATTTATCCAGCACAATTTGTCTGTTCCAGTGGTCTCTTATCAGCATAACACAGACCCATTCTGGCAATATGTGCTATACTGGTAAGTGGCTCGTGAAAAATTCTGGTATAAATGCGTTTTATGCAAAATTAAGGAAGATTTTCCAGTTATTTTTGTAGGCAGCAGCTTCTACAGTCAAGGACTGGGGCAGATGCTTTGTAACATAGTTGATATAAATACATATGAGCCTACTGGCTGTTGAAACACTGAAACACTATGCGAGAAGATCAGTGGTCACCAGGATCTGCTTTCCTGCAGAGTTTAGTTCCAACCTGCCCCAACCTTAGCTAACACTAATGTACCTGATACAGCCCATCAGAAACTTCTGAAGATGTTCATTAGCTGGCATGGTAGTTGGGGATGGAACTAGTCTCCTCAGGAAGGTAGATCTTCAGACCCAGACTTGGTGACAACTGACCTAGAAATTAATGGTTTGCAACAGGCCCCATTATATGACATTGTCATGATATTCACTATGCAACCCAACCACCTCTAACAATATTTCCACCAACAGGAACCTTGGTCTCACCATAAAAGGAGCAGTACCATTAAGACAGAAAATAATTTTGGTTTAGTCAATTAGTTGGTTCAATTGGTTGGTTAATCAATTAGTAGATTTAATTAATGGGATTAGTACATGTTATAAATGTTAAAAAAGTAAATATTGATACTTAGGCCTGCACGTATCAGTACCATTGGTAAACCCGGAATATTCCGGTATTATAAAATATTGTGTTTTTTTTTTTCTCTTATACCTACTATCAGTGTTGGGCAAAATACTTTAAAAGTAATGATGGATGAATACTGAAAACACCATTCTAAATGCATTCAGTATTGTATTCCAGTACAATAAATAAAAAGGTAACATATTCAGAGTACTCTTACAGTATATTTAGAATACAGTGCCTTCCACAAATATTGGCACTCCTGCTAATCATGAGCAAAATGAGATGTAAAAAATATTCTCAAGTACTTATTCTGTTGATCTTTAAAAAAAAAAAAATCAAAATATTAGCAAAAATCTAAATTCTATGAATGACATATTGATTGAAGGAAAAAACTGAATCTTGTCATGAAATAAATATTTTTCTTAAATTTATGTATGCCACAAGAATGTACCCATTCATATTTTATGTTGTTAAGTCCACCAGAGCGATTAGGAACAATTAAATGGTCAGCCATGCTTTTCTGTTTCACTAGGGAACATTAGAACGACCAGAGAATACAGCAGTGATGTACAATAAAAGGTTATCGAAAATACACATTTCCACCATCAGGTCAATAATTAAGAAGTTTAAAACAACTGGAGATGTTAAAATTTGCCGGGAAGAGGACGTATGCCTATACTGACCCCATGCACATTGAGAAGGATTGAGAAGGACCCCATCCACTCCTAGTGCCAGCAATAAAAAATAAATTCAAAAGCTGACAGCCTCAACCAGAAAGCTTAAACTGGGCCATAGTTTGGATCTTTCAGCAGGACAATGATCCAAAGCATGGCTCAAAAAACAACACAAAAATGGTTTACTAACCACATAATTAAGGTTTTGCCATGGCCACCCCAGTCCCCTGGCCTAAACCCCATAGAAAACCTGTGGGATGAGCTGAAGAGGAGAGTCCACAGTGTGGACCTCAGAATCTGAAGGATCTGAAGAGGTTCTGTATGGAGGAATGGTCTCAGATCATGTGTTCTCCAGTCTCATTAAGCATTACGGAGCTGTTATCTTTGCAAAGGGAGGGTGTTCAAGGTATTAAATTAAGGGGTGGCAACAGTTGTGGCACACATAGTTTGAGAAAAATGTTTATTTCCTCATATCATTTAGTTTTTTGCCAATTAACATACTTAAAGTAAAGGTTAGATTTTTGTTATTAATATTTTGAATGAAGGATCAAAAGTGTAAGCAATAAAGAATATTTTTTACAGCCTGTTACAGCATGTTTACCAGGGGTGTCAATATTTGTGCAAGGCACTGTACATCCCGATAAGGCACATGGGAAAATTCACAGTTTTCTGTGCTGCAAGGGGTCAGCAGTTTGCTTCATGCAGTTCATCTGTTACTATGTTTCGTGAACAGTTCACTTATTTAAATAAAGTTCCAAAATCCTCAACATTATTTTGGCTCTCATCACCTGCTTCAGTCCACTGCTCCTTTCCATAATTCCACTGTCATCTCAAGAACTAAATCAACAATTGTCAATGTCATTTTCAGTTAATGGCATTGTCACAAAATGCATGCCTGAGTCTTATCACACACCAATGCCAAGCATTTTTCAACCTAATGTCTATGTGCCACATTTGTAGCATAGTTGTGTAGTGAATTACCAGTGGTAAAGAGTTTAATGCAGAACAGAAAAGAGCAGAAGCCAGAAAATCCAGAAGAAAAAAAAAACATAAAATCCAACTCAAAACACATTTATAATAGAAGTAATAACAAATTAGATGTAAATTATAACATCAGAGCAGATAATAAATGCATAAATTAATGAATAATTCTGATAACATATGATCCATCCCTGCATAATCCTAAAAACTGATGTTCATTTCATTACCAGCACATCGTCTTTGACCTGAGAGCTCATGTCAGTGTGAGGTGGATTAGTGCAGGGTGGGTTATAGGAACATGGTTTTCTCCAGAGATCTTATTAACAGACACTGCAGTCAGAGCATGTCCATGTGTAAGAGCAGCTCTAACCCGACGCTGGGGAGGTCCACTACACAAATGAATGATATAATCCTTAAATTAGCTGTATGTGATCATTTGAATGTTGATTAGTTAGAGCAGCCGATTTCTTTTTGATCTCATTGGCTTGGTTAAATACCTCATAATATAGGATCACTATTACTTACTCTTCATCTTAGTGTGGGATTTAAATTGCTTTAATCAAACTATTAGTTGTTTAATGCTGTGTAGATTTTGTAATTTTTATAAACACATTTCAACAATCCCAGCATGATAATCGGTGAATTTCAAGAATCAGTAAACTAATTGATAAAGTACACAATAAACTGATATTATCACAAACGTGGTGCTGATATTAAAGGAATACTCTATCATTTTTCAGTGTCTAGCTGACACATTTGTAGTGTGCCATTACTACAGTTACTAAAGTTTTATTTCACACTTCTACAACCTAAGAGTAGCTTAACCAGTTTGCAGTTACTATAGTTACTGAATAATAAGCCTTAGTATGTAATAAGCCTAGGATTTAAAGGGGTTAACTTGTTAAGTTCCAAAAAAGTAATTCAGAGTGGTTTCATGTGAAATGCTCTGTTCTAGTGAAACATATTGAGACAGAGTTGTTCACAGTGGTGGTAATAGGAACCAGACATCTGAAGTTGTTAAAAGGTATCTCACAAAATGCAATAGTTTGACACTGTGTTTTTGAGATAGTTTTTAAGGTTTGGGCCTAAAAATATATTATTTAATATATATTATAATATATTATTTAAAAATATATTTTTAAATGCTTTCATGGGGGAGAGGTACATGCAGGGCATTGTTGGGCAAAATAGTCCACAAACTATTTATTTATTTTAACTCAGGAGACGTATAGGTTCACTGGTTGTGAAGATATCTTTACTCCTGGCTCTTGTCAGCACCACTGTAAAGAAATCTGAGTTGGTAAAATTGCCTACAATTTACTGTTTAACATCAGTCCTCTCTGAAAGACTGGTTACATATCAACAATTGAATTACAGAGATTATTTTTTAAAAATTGATAGTTGGGTCATTATTAAACAGAGCACTTATCGGGTTAATCTAAGATTGGTTCGTAATTTATAATAGCAAGCTAGATTAAGTGTTCAACCCTCAATTTATTTTATTTTGGGTTCAAATATAAAATAAATAAATAGCAGTAATTCATTTTAATCATTGTGGGGTATGGCATTGAAAGTCAGCTTCATTTGTCAGTGTACAATAAAAAACATTGTGAAATAAAAAAAAAACATACAAAGAATGCAGCATAAAGTGACTAACGTTACTTATAAAGTTACAGTTAGGTACAAAAGTGGTTGCTGACCTTTTATATCTGCCCCTTTGTTGGATCAGGTTGAGGTCTGCTTTCTTGTAGCGAAGCGGAAAAAGCATAACAAACTGAACCAAACTTTTTCTTGCACAGATAAATCAGCAGCTGGGTTAAAGTGACTCAGCGGCTGGGTAGCTACACCTGGCAGTACTGGAAGGTGGAAGGACCATTGTGATGTTTGCATTGTCTGTACTGTTGCTGAGATTGACCCTGCCACTAATCCTCAGCAGCTAGGCTACACAAACTACCCAGCACAGTGCAAATAACCCAAACCCAAAATACACAAAATGATGCAACAGCCAAAACCCAGCATTTTTTGTAGTGTATAGAGCGGATGAATCCATGAATCCATCTTTTGAGTAATGCTTTCCCTATACTGTTGTTTGATGTGTTTGACAGAAAGCAGACTTGGCAGTGGCTCCCTTGACCATAACATACGTGAGGGAGAAGGTGATTGATTTCTCGAAGCCCTTCATGACATTGGGCATCAGCATCCTGTACCGCAAGCCCAACGGCACCAACCCTGGCGTGTTCTCATTCCTCAACCCCCTCTCTCCCGATATCTGGATGTATATTCTGCTGGCTTACTTGGGTGTCAGTTGTGTGCTGTTTGTCATAGCCAGGTAACATGACAAGTTTAGCAAAGCAAAAAGTATTGTATATACTGTCAAGATGAAGCTCTGGAGTTGTGAAGATGTGTTACAGTTTTCAATATAATTGCTAGGAAAATCACCTCTGATTACAACATACTGCATATAAAGCCATTTATTTCACTTCCTTTAGCACAGAACCTTATTTATTTGAAATTTATTTATTTACATTTTCTGCTTTTTTATTTTTCACAAGTCTTTCTTCCATGATCCTCTAAAATTCTTCCGTTGTCGCTTTAACTGGAATAACTGGAATGAGTCTGCTGTGATTCTTACCTACCTTCAAGTTATTCCAGTTACTACTGTTACTACCACTACTACTGATACTACTTATAATACTACTACTACTATTACTAATAATAATAGTAATAATAATAATGATAATAATAATCAGAATCGCATATTAGTCTATGTATATGTCACTCATTTCATAGTACCACACAAATGAAAGAATTGTAATCAATACAGCACACATTAACCTCAAGACTTTTGAGTGGTGTGTCGTTTCTTAGACCCTCAGAAGAATTGTGGTTAAAGCTGTTTGACTCTCAGTGTTACTGGCACTATGATCTTTAAACAGAAAAGCCACAATTGTCACCTAAGTTGGTTCAGAATATGCATAGAAAAGTACTTTATTCTGATGAGGAATGATGGGTAAGTTTGCTGTTCAACTCATAGAGCAGAACCTTCTGCATTTTGCTGATTTCATTCATATTAAACAGATTATATTAATTAGAAAATATATAAGCCCATACAACCATTTTTCCATTTCACATTTTTTCTGGGGATTTCTGGAGTTGTTTTTCCAAATCACCCAACCAAATCAAACACTTTTTTAACACTTTTAACACTTTTTTCATTCACAGTAAGAGTTCATTAACAATATATTATGTATATGATATTTTAGTTATATTTTACTTTTATTATGATAAATTATGTAAATTGGTATATTCTGTTTGGTTGATCTACTTCTAATTGAACATGAGCTTTTCATACAGTGTTTAACACATTGACACAAGGGGGCTATTTGATATGAAAAATGACCCATAACAGACAGCACTTTTTACATAACTAGTAGAGGGCAGGCAGGTGTTAAAACTGTGCTACAACAAAAACAGAAAAAAGTGAAATCAGCAAACACAAAAGGATGTTGTGTCTTTTTCAAGCTATTTGGCACTGAGGAAGTTCTAAACACAGGATGCTTTGACATTTTTCAGTCATCTTGCTCGTACAGAGTAATTGTTGCCACAGTGTGCAATGCCACCATCTTTTGAAAAAGTTTCCCATCAGACTGATTAAACCCAGTTTGACATGCAGATAGCCAATAAGGATGCAACTGACAATATTTGCACATTTGTGGCCATCATAGCATACAGTAGTTATCAGACTTTCTGTGTAGCTTTGTGTACTGAATCTATTAAAAAGGTAAAAAGGTAAGTAAACTGAAGGATAAAACTGTATTATAATCTTTTTTGTGGTGTAATATACAGTGCACTCACTGGCCACCTTATAAGGCATACCTACTTTTTGTGTACTGTACACTTTTTGTGTACTCCATTTAATGTCCACTTAATGTGAAACATCTACTTTGTTCCACCTTGTAGATGTGAAGTCAGAGACAATAGCTTATTTGTTGCAGCACAGTTTGTGTTATTCTAACTATGTAGCGTTTTTCTAACTATGTGTAGTGGCCCTCCAGTGGGCCATGATGGTACTGTTAGGGGGCCTTTGGCGATCCATTTTTATTTTAAAATATTATTAATATGCAACCCCATTTCCAAAAAAGTTGGGACGTCGTAAAAAATATAAATAAAAACAAAACGCAATGATGTGCATTTCATTTAACCCCTTATTTTTAATTGAAAACAGTATAAAGTTCCAAAAAAGTTGGGACGGGGTCAACAAAAGGTTGGTAAAGTTGTGTAGTGCTAAAAAAAAGACCTGGTGGTTGATTGGCAACAGGTAAGTAACATGATTGGGTATAAAAAAGCATTACAGAGAGGCTTTCAGAAGTAAAGATGGGGAGGGGTTCACCACTCTGTAAAAGACTGCCCGATCAAATAGTTGCAACAATTCAAGAATAACGTTTCCCAACGTAAAATAGCAAAGAACTTTTTGTTTTTCATCATCTACGACACATAATAACATTAAAATATTCAGAAAATCTGGAGAAAACTCTGTATGCAAGGGACAAGGCCAAAAAAGACATGATTCTGTAGCGGAAATCACTGCAAAGGCTCAGAAACACTTCTGAAAACTACTGTCTGTAAAAACAGTTCGTCGCTGCATCCACAAATGCAAGTTAAAACTCTAAAACACAAAGAAGAAACTGTACATAAACAGGATCCAGGAATGCTGCCAGCTTCTCTGGGCCCGACAAATCAACATTTGAAATTATTTTTGGAAATCATGGACATTGTGTCCTCCGGGCTAAAGACCACTCAGCCTGATATCAGTGCACAGTTCAAAAGCCAGCATCCATGATGGTATAGGGGTGCATTAGTGCACATGGCATTGTTGACATGCACATTTGTAAAGGCATCATTAATGCTGAATGATATATACATGTTTTGGCAACATATGCTGCCATCCAGACGACGTCTTTTTCAGGGAAGGCCTTGCTTATTTCAGCAAGACTATGCCTAACCACATTCTGCATGTATTTCAACAGCATGGCTCCATATTAAAAGAGTCCGGGCACTAAACTGACCTGCCTGCGGTCCAGACCTGTCACCCACTGACAACATTTGGCGCAGTATGAAATGAAAAATACGACAAAGGAGACCCCAAACTGTTGAGCAGCTGAAATCCTATATCAAACAAGAGTGAGAACATTTCACTTTTAAAACTACAGCAGTCGGTCTCCTCAGGTCCCAAACACTTACAGAGATTTGTTAAAAGAAGAGGTGATGAAACATGGTGGTAAACATTCCCCCATCCCAGCTTTTTTGGTACACGTTGTTGGCATCAAATTCAAAATGGGCATATATTTTTCAAAAAACAATAAAATTTCTCAATTTCAACATTTGATAAGTTGTCTTTGACATACAGAACATTTTCAGATTTTTGGTATTTATGTTTTGTGATTAAAAAGTCTGATGAATCTGAAAAAAGTCTGAAAAAAAGTCTGAAGTTTGCTACATATATTATTCTGTTATAATTTTTTGCATTTCCAACAATAGGGCCAGTTAAATATTCTTGTGGATCACAGAAGCTTTTGCAGTTGGCAGTTGTCACTGAGCTGTTTAGAAATGTCAGTAACCCTGCTGTGTGTGATCCAATTTATGTAGCGAACACTAACATGTCACCACCATGTCAGTGTCATTGCAGTGCAGAGAAGGATCCACAATCCAAAAAATACCTGCTCTGTAGTGGTACTGTGGTGGTCCTGGCCACCAAATCACAACACATTATACAGAGAAATTCAATGTGTAATCGTAGAATTATAAAATACACCTAAAATGTAAATGGACCTGATAGTGCACAATGACTGATACAATGGAAGTGTACATAATAAGGTGCCCAGTCCAATTTTTCCCCATATTTTTAGACATTTAACAATGGCTTGCCATTTGTGACTGCACTGAGATTTTTTACAGATATGGGCCTGTGGTGTAGCAAGAAAAGCAGGATGTGGGCAAGCTGATAACCTAGCTACCAAAGTTAGCATATATTGCTCAGATGTACTGAACTCGGTAGCCTGAACATTGGTCTGACATATTTTGATTTTTTGAGATTATGATTACGAAAACACACAGACAAACAAAAATCAGAATAGAAAAATAACAAAAAATCATGACTTAATGCATCAGACTTAAAATTGTGCAATTATGAGCATTAATTAATTCTCCAAATCATTGTACTAATGAATAAATGTACATAAACGTATTTGAATAAATGGATGAATAAATATCATGTTGTATTGACTCTCCTCAAAACATCTGAAGTAGTTAAAAGACAATGTCCTTGGTGCCCTCTCTCTGAGTAATGTGCACCTAATTGCTTCTGTGACACTCTCAGAACAGAGTTACCAAGCAGATGCAATATTTGCAGCGTGTGCATTAGAACTGACTTATCTGCACTGCTAACGAATTCGCTGAATGTTATTCAGTTTATATCTCAGATTTTACCCTGATTATTACACTGATCATTTTACTGTGAATGTATGTTGGAACTTTACACAATTAATTTTTTTCAAATACTTAATTGCAGCAAGTGACTTGTTGGCTGTGCCATTTAAGGTATTTGGCTTAGATCATATGCCTCCTTGGGGGCTTCCACTGAGCTCATGAATTTCCAAGGGACATCTTGAATATAGAATATAGAATCTTTGCTCATGTATAACAAATCTGTTAACTTCTACAAAGCAGTATGGAAATTTATAGATCTTTTCATCATGACTGGAAGTGTAATGCCCTCTAGACATAAAATCTTTTTTTTAAGACCCTGACAACACTTTAAGAGCCCTTTCTCTTTATATTTTGTGTAATGCAAGAATATTCTAAAGCGTACACTGAGATGGTAGTTTATTAGGTCCTGTACCTTGTACTTAAACCCATTGACCATTTTATTAGAAACACCTATCAGTGTTTCTACAGTGGGCTACAGTCAGCAACTGTAAACACCCTATCAGTGGCAGCCCAAGAACTGCAGTTTTGGAGGATACAACAAATTCACGAGCAGACAAATTTCTTTCTTAGGGAAGCAAAACTCAGTATGCTTATGTATGTTTTAAATATGCTTTGCAGACCAACATAACTTTAATACAGTGATTTCTGACATTTAGTGTTCAGTCAAATGGATGATTATTGTATCACATTCAGAGTTGCATAACTGTTTGCAGTTGCTGTTTGTCTAATGCTATGTGGTATGATCTGAATATTTTTGTGTTTTGTGTTTATATGCTTCTAATCCTTAAAGTTATGTAACAGTTCTTCCTAATCTGTCTCCAAAATGACTGACAGCATCCCACTTTATGAGCTCTTACTTCTCATCATGCCAGTGTGATGAGAAACTGATTGATTTATACTGTAGTGTTTAGGAGTGTGTTTGCTTAAGAGAGAGCAATGCTTAGCAAAAACCTCACAGTTACAGCTATTACTTAAACTTTTGGTCATTGAAATAATTAAGGGAATAATATTGATATTTAATTTGTAATATTAATTGAATATTTATTTGAAATATGTCACATATTTATGTTTTATATTTAGATATTTTAATACTGAAAGTAAACTTAAGCAATCATTTTGGGTGTGCCAATGATAAAAATGGGTGGGTCTAGGCCTGCTAGGCCCAATAGCCTAGAAGGAAGCTACAAAGTAGGTGTATAAGTTGACAACACAGTGTGTTTATATGTCCACATGTGTGTGTGTATATGTGTGTCACTCCACGTGATTATTTGCTATATATATATAGCAATTTTCCGCTTTCTCTAATCTTTAATCTTCATGTATCTCTCTTTTTCTCTGTATCAGGTTCAGCCCGTATGAGTGGTATAATCCTCACCCCTGTAACCCAGATTCTGATATGGTGGAGAATAACTTCACTCTACTAAATAGTTTCTGGTTCGGAGTTGGAGCTCTCATGCAACAAGGTAGAGACTTCAGCCTGGCTGCCCCGCTTTAATGGCTCTCCACCACGCACTAGGCCTTTTTGGGGCCCCCTTCTGTTTTAGTGCTGGTACTGCAGGCTACAAGGGACTGTTTATGTACTGCACAAGTTACTGAGACCAGTTTACTTTACATTACCTTACTTTACTGATACCACAAATCTGACAGCACTTGTGGCAGAGTGATACTCAGAATGAAATCCATAACACCAGGTTATCTAAAAAGTTAAAACACCAGTGTTCAGTGTGAACAGAGTGAAGAATTGTTTACTTACTAGCACTATATACTATAATTTTGTGCTTATTTACTCCACAGAATTCTTTACTTCCTCCTCTGGAGCACTACACCCTAAGAGTTTTCCATTCTTAAAGACAGCTGTTTCAGTTTAGAGCTCAGTTCAAAGAACAACATACTGTTGTGGCCATCCAGACTGAACAATACTGAGAAGTTGCACCACAGGCAGTGAATGTACTCTATAAACTTAAAATTCCAGAGTGCAACAATTAGAGCTATTATTAATTGAATATAATAGTACATATAATATAATAATAGTGTGTAATATATTTTAATATTAAAATGTACTCTAAAAGTTGTCTTTGATCTTGAGGATAATTAATTTTACTAAATGCCTAAAAGACAAAGTTTAGCCACTCATTTCAGAATTATAGTTGCACCTCTGTGTGCTTGTTTTCAGCTGAGCCACATAAAAGTAAATTCCTGACAAACAATGAACATTCTGGAATGAAAAATAACAAAACCAGAAATTTTCTGATAAAGCAATGAATAAGATGTGATTAGAAAGGTCTATAATGCTGTCAGTAGACTTCAGTTAAGATATCCTTCCTATATGACATTTGGTTGTATCACAGTGCAGTAGTGTTGTTTTAATTAACAGATATATCGCTGTTGTCGGAAGAAAAACTCATATCACCATTTTTGTCATTTTTGAGCTTTTGACATAATTTGAAAATACCTGTTACCCTTTACGTTGCAAGTAAATTTCATGATGAATGGACTAAAGGAAATGACCCAAAATGACTTAGAAAAAAGTCTGGTTCCATTGACTTTCATTAAAAGTAAAGTAGGTTTTTTCCTTCTCCTGTAAAGTTACCATTTTGGAGATACGAGGTTTTCTTTCGACAACAGCGATATGTTGCTTTACAACACACTGTACCATAGGGAGTGAACACTTCTTCAGAGTCCCTTGCCTCTGTGGTTTGCCCCATAGAGGTCAGTGGGTGGTGGTGACAGGGTATGAAGTTACCTTGGGTACATGATAGTACAATCCAATTCTATTCTATTCAATTCTATTCTGTTTTATTCTACTAAGCCTAATTTTGCTTTTGGAGAAAAATGTTGAGCGATGTGTAGGTATTTAAGTGACTAACTATTGAGTAAATAGTACTGATATATAGATATCAGACATTTTGGTACTTATTGTCATGGCCCTGCCATTTTTTTGAATGTAATATCTTTGCTTAATTGTTGTTCACATGTGGGCTCCCTTTCATGTTTCCCCTGCTGTGAGCCAGGCAAGTGTAACATTATGGTTTTTCAAATTGTGTGCCATCTGCACAGCAATCATAGGTTGCGAAATGCCATATCAAGAATGCATGGCTAAAGGCTTGGAAAATAAAAGCCAAATAGTTGATATGCTGACTGTGATTTTAAGCTTATGTTTTATTAGAAATGGAATGAACCAAAAAGAAAATTAGGATGGCACCTACTCTGCTTGGTGCCAGCCCTGCCTCATAACTTTCCTTTTGGTTTCCTTTTTCCAACTGAACATTTTTCTCCAGAAGCATGAATTAGGCTTGAGTATTTGAGCATGGACAGTAAAATGTTCATGTAGAGCAGTAAAGGGTTTATGTACATCAGTGTTTCTCATTTATGTTCTTAGAGTACTGCTGCAGAACACATTTTGGTGCTCAAAACACCTTACTGAGTTCATCAGCTACTTAAGGTGTGTTGGACTAAGTAAAACACTAAAATGTGCACTGTGCTCTAGTTCTCAACTTGGGTGTTTGCGTGGTCAGAGGTGGGTAGAGTAGCCTAAATCAATAGTATAATGATAAAATGAAAAGTACTGGAGTAGAAATACAGAAGTATTATGTCAAAACTACTTAAGTTCTCATACTTATGGAAGCATGACAACTTCTCTTTTTGAGATTCTTTTGGTCTAAAATAAAATGCTAATGCTCCAAAGTCAGTCAATCACAAAGCAGTACAGAGGTCACCAACAAAACATAATGCAATTAAACACAAAAATGAATTAGTAACTAAATATAAATGGCTAAAATTTAACTGAAAAAATAAACAGATCATTTTACTTACTTAATGTACATGAGTTGAAGGAAAAGTATTATGAGTTGAAAATGCTCAGGAGTACACATCAGTTACTTAAGAATATACGCTTGAGTAAATGTAACTAGATACTACCCACCTCTGCACATTATGTTTGTTGGAATGTATAGACCAATATTTTGTGATATATTTTGGTGGATGATTTTTTCATTCATTATCATTATACCCTAAAAGAGTGGCTACATAAGTGAAGCCTCTAACTGGCATGTTTGGCAGCAGCCATTGGCCAAGCTGCTAACCTAGCAGTTAATTTTGCTACATTTTTGTGAAAATTAACATAAGTGAACATTAAGTATGCAATGTCAGAAATTGTGGTTGAAAATCTATGCGATACACGTATAAAAGCAACCAATAAAGAGCAGCATGGAATAATGTGAATGTGTGCGTGATAGATGATAAATTAAGCCAAAAACTTTATTGCTCACAAGTTTAAGAATACTAGCTTATTTATCAGTGTGGCCCAGCCCTCAGTTCACATACAGAGTAACCTGCAGTGAAATAGCAGAGCTAGCTACTGCAAAGTGGACAGAAAAATTGGCCTACTGACCTCTTTCACTTTGGAGAATGAGCATTGTATGTTGCCATTTCCCCACTTTCCTCTTATGTTCTTAGTCATTTCTATTCAATTATTTTTCAGACAAAGCATTGCCACTGTAATGCATGTATGGCTGTCTTTTTCAGCAAAAAAATAAGGCACATAAAAAATGTCATTTTCTTGCATCATATAATCGCCGCTAGAAAATCTTAATTTTATGATCTGATGTGCAGCATAACTAAATTTGCAGCTTCTAACAGTCTGAGTTTGGCCAAGATTTTATTTGTGGCATGTCATGCAATGTGACATGCAGCAAACTTGTAGATCACTTTAATCTCACCATTTAACGCAGAGCTAGCAAAGTAGTTTGAGTTTACAACTGAAGTACACTGCAGAGCAAATTGAAATTAGAATGCTACAGGAAAGGTCAAGAACCCCAACCTTCATGGTCGTTGATCAGAAAAGCTGAGAACCACTGCCACTGCTTTCATACAGCAACTGGGTAAGGCTGATGTACAGTCTTAAGTGGTGTATGATGTGGGACCTGTGTGGAGCTCACCAGGTGAAATAACCCCCCTTCCTGTCCCTTTTCTTTATGTATCAATCTTCTGCTCTCCTCTGCACTTTACTCTTATTGACAGGGTCTGAGCTGATGCCCAAGGCTCTGTCCACCAGGATAGTTGGAGGTATCTGGTGGTTTTTCACTCTGATCATCATCTCCTCTTACACGGCCAACCTGGCTGCCTTCCTCACTGTGGAGAGGATGGAGTCTCCCATTGACTCAGCTGATGACCTAGCCAAGCAGACCAAGATTCCTTATGGTGTAGTGGAGGATGGATCTACTATGGCATTTTTCAAGGTGCTACAGCTAGAATTGATCTTTCCATACTCTGCCTACCAATGCATTCTTTCGTATACTACTGTTTCAAGGTTGGACAAGTTTTCCCATTCAGTGAGAATTTGTGGAATACAACTCAGTTCTGTAAAAGTAACTAAATTTAGTGTTATTCATTTCAAATGAGATTTTATTTTATTTTGTATGCATGTGAAAGACATAGTCTTAGGATGACTTGGGTGTATTTTTTGTTGTTCTTGGTATGTAATCAAAGTTGTCAAGAATTAACATCTGATTAATAGGCTAAACAGAAGGTTCACTGGCAGCTAAGTTAACATTTTTACCCTACACCAGGCATGTCAAACTGGCGGCCTTCTGGGCCAAAGTGCTGTGGAGATTAGCATTTACGCTCATCTAATGCTCTGAATTCAGTTCGTAAGGGCCTTGCAAATTGGCTGATGAGCTGAATCAGGTGTGTTTAATGAGGCAGCGTGCTGAAGTCTGCAGTATTTTGGCCTGGGAGGACTGGAGCTTGACACATGTGCTCTACATCATTAGCAACTGTAGCATGGCTAAATGTCAGGAATAGCTGACAACATTGTGTTTGCCAAAACGTGATGATAGCAGTGACAAGAGCCCAGCAGAAAATCTATGGATCCCAGTGAAAAAAAATGATAACCAACAGAAAGTGTTTACAAAGTGAGGAGATGATCAAGCCAGATTCAGGCTGAATAGTGCCTTGCAAAAGTATTAAAACCTCTTGAAAAGTCATAAGATTCATCTGAATTACAAATGACATACATTGTTCATGCCAATATTTTTATTGCAATAAATGCTCTTAAAATTTGTCTAAATTCATTATTTGTCAGCAAATCTTTAAACAATATATTAAAAACTTAAAAACGCTGCTTGCATAAGCATTCAACCCCTTTAGACTAGTACTTAGTAGAACTGCCTTTGACTGCAATAACAGCTTTAAGTCTGTAGGGGTAAGCTTCTGCCTACTTTGTATACTGTTTAGGAGTGATTTTCAGCCATTCTTCTTGACAGATTTGCTCCAGATTGTTTAGATGACGCTTGTGCACTACACATTTCAAACAGTGCCATAAACTCAACTGGATTGAGATACAGCCATTAACTTAGGCATTGTAGAACAGTCATCTTTTAGTGTTGCTATAGCTTTGTGCTTTGAATCATTGTCCTGCTGAAAGGTGAAGTTTCCAGAAGTTTTACTTTTTTAACAGACTGAAGCAGGCTATCATCCAGTATCTCCCTGCATTTTGCACCGTCCATCTGTCCATCAGTTTTAACAAGATGCCCAATGCCCGCTGAGGAAAAGCGTCCCCACAACATGATGCTGGCACCTCCATACTTCACTGATGGGATGGCAATTGTTGAGGAACGAGCAGTGTTAGGTGTGCGTCACATGTTGAATTTTGGCCAAAAGTCTCCATTTTTGTGTCACCCGTCTTATCTAATGACCCACATCCTTCCCACATCCCCAGCTGGGTCACTCCGATGCTTTCTTGCAAACTCCAGACTTGCTTTTATGTGGTTTTTTTTTCACTTCAGTCCAAGCCACTGAACTCTGTAGCTCCTTCAAATTGATTGTTGGCCTATCTGGGCTTACTTGCTCTGATGCTCAGTTTTGAGAGATGGCCTTGTCTACATTTGCAGAAAAAGTGCCTGGGTGGTGTGATGCAGCTTACAATTCCTCACAATGAATCTAACAGTGCGCACTGGTATATCCAAACACTTGAGGATATTATTTTGTAGCCTTTTCCTATATTGTGCATGTGTGTAACTGTATTTCTGATTTCCTTAGAATGCTTATCTTATCTTATCTTCATTTTCAGAGGTTTCCTTCAGATTCAAAGTTTGACCAACACTAACATTCACACAAGCAACCACTCAAACTCTTAACTGCTGTGCAAATTTTGAGGAGATGAAATACAAGAATTCATTTGCATAAGGGAGGAAAAGTAAAAGGAAATGATTTTAAAAAACAGGAGTCTCCAAACCAACTTTTGAGACTGAACTTTGGAGAAGTGGAAAAATATCCCTGCAGATTTATTTGAAAAAGACTGAAATTAGGCCTCACAAAAATAATGGAAGCTGTCACAAAGGAAAAGATGGACACTAAATACTGAAAATGTAATATTATGTAGAGTTGTTGAGGCTTCTGTGTAATTTTCTGTTAAAAATGAATTCTGCTTTTTCTGGCTTTTTAGACTAAAATAATTATTAATAATTATCATTAAATAAATGAAAGGTGGGCTCTGGCTTTTAAGCAGTACTGTACTGTATATAAAAAATACTGTATATAAAAAAGTGTATTCTAAAAGTGTGACTTTGCATAGTACAAAATAATCATTGAAAAATAAAATTAGGCACTCTAAATTTAGGTTTGGTTAGGCTGTTTTAGCAAACACTGCAAAATTCATCTCATCTTGCAACAGCTGAAAGGATGCATTTGTTAGCAGTGCATGGATAGATCAGTTAGGGCCAGGGAGTACTTACTGCAGTCTACTATCATGTGAGCAAATATTTGGCATATTTTCTATAGCTTTATTTAATGAAAGCTGTTTATATTAGTTCTGCCTCTATTACCTTAATTGCCGTGTGCCTGTGCGAATGGTAGTGAAACCAAGAACCCAGATCAGGATTTGAAGCCTGCCCAAAACACTGGCTGAAAAATTGTCCAGAAATGATTAAACAATAAACCTATCTTCTTCATTCTTCTTTTGTATTGACCCCTGTAGAAGACAAAGATCTCCACTTATGATAAGATGTGGGAGTTCATGAATAGCAGGAGGCAATCAGTGATGGTGAAGAGCGTGGAGGAGGGAATCCAGAGAGTGCTTACGTCGGACTATGCATTCCTCATGGAGTCCACCACCATTGAGTTTGTCACCCAGCGCAACTGCAACCTCACTCAGATTGGAGGACTCATAGACTCCAAGGCATATGGAGTGGGAACACCAATGGGTAAGTACTCATTTTGCCTGAGTTTTTCCTATCTGACTGAAGCAAGTAAAACATTGTGTTATTTCTTTTTATTGTGGGGTACAACTGATAAGAATCAGGCTCATAACATCCTCCATTATATCTTAGAGTGGCAAATTAATCAACATAGACAAGGGTTTCTCAACCTGTTGGCTGTGGTCCACCAAGCTCATTGTCCATTTGATCAGCTCCACTTACTGTATAGGTGCACTTTGTAGTTCTATGTAGTTCTGTAGGATCTATGGGGGTCCTGATCACTGAAGAACAGGGTAAAAGGGGGCTAACAAAGTATGCAGTGAAACAGATGGACTACAGTCTGTAATTGTAGAACTACAGAGTGCACCTATGCAGTAAGTGGAGCTGATAAAATGGACAATGAGTGTAGAAACAAGGAGGTGGTCATAATTTATGCCTGATCGGTGTATATAGTTATATGTTATTAATTAAATGTCGTCAGTCTGAGACAGCGCAGCTGCGGACGTGCAATGCAGACAGCGAACCAGAGATGAAGTTTCTCAGGGTGCTTTGTTTGGTGAGGACTTCACACTTTCTTTAATTTACTCCTTTTTAACAAGGAGACACTTCACTCGTATTCGGGTCTGCAGCAAAGAGGTGAACTGGTCCCGCAGAAAGTGCAGGACTCAGTCCTGCTGATGGAAACACGCTCTGTGATCAAACGAGGGAATTCATTAATAAAGTTCGCTTTCCTTCTCTTCTAGAGGCACGTCGGTGCCGTACAGTCAGCATAACGACTGTTTTAATGACTGACTCTTTAGACACCGAGCACAAGCAACTGTTAAAAACAATAGACGAGCCATAAAATAATAGAGAAGATAAGCATTTGATTTCAACTCATGGATTGCGGAGCGTATGTTTGGTCGAGCGTCAGCGACCTGAGTAGTTAAACTCAGACTGATAAACCAATGACAAAGAAGCAAATATCAGCTAAGATTTATCATTATTGTTGATTGGGACGACACTAATTGAAAAGCCCAGTGAATGAAGTGTGGTTTATTTCAAATGAGATATCTTGAGACCAAACAATTCCTCTTTTGGAAAAGCCAGTGTATTTTCAGTGAAAAGACAATGGACTGCAGCTCCAAATCACAGCTACCTTGTACATTTCTATTCTTTTTTTTTTCTTTTTTCCCCTTTTCGGATACCACTACAACCATGTTTTTTTAAACGTTTCATGCTTTTTAACATACCTGCAAATTTTGCAAACCTACTGGCATCCAGAATGGCCAATCTGATCTTTTTCAGGACATAATTGTTAGATTTTCAGTGTAAGCATTTAAGAAAAATAAAGTTGTATTTAAAAAAGTTGATTTTAGTTTTCCTGTGGACCGCTATGCTTTATAGTTATACACAGGTGGGCCTTGGGGTGGAAAAGGTTGAGAACCCCTCACATAGACCACCCTGGTAGATATATTTATATAATCACACCGTTTTCATATTTTCTTGGAAATTGGAAAGGAAAAGCCCCAGTAAATTTCTATGCCATAATGTTTGAATATTTGCTTCAACTAATACATACATTTCTGCACATCTGAGCTACCATGTGTTTGATGGGCCCAGAGTCCAAACTACTGTGGGAGAGCAGGCAACCCTCATGAGTCAGGTGGCCATAACCAACACCATAAACCTGCCAACACAGCAGTTTCTTTAAGTTATGGCTCTCTTGTGCCTGAACAGAGCAGCCCATGAATTCACAGACACACAGAGAAGTAATGCACATAGACATTTTTTTTTTTATTTAGAAGCTAAAAAGGTCTTTAAAAACCTCCAAGAAGAGATGCTATATTAGCGATATCAGAAGTTATAACGTGAGCAGGCATACACACATTGTATTCAAACTAATAACTTTGTGTGGGTTGACAGGACTTATGCTGTCTTCAAGGATATTTGCATTGCAAATCTAGCACATTGATTTACCAAGGATGCACCCATAAAAGCATTGCTTAGCAGTGTGGGATTCCAGTCCATGACTAACGTGAATTTGTCTTGTTTTACTCGTATTCCAGACCAGAAAGAGTAAATAGTGGAATCCAGAGTAGCAGTTGCAAGTTAAAATCATTATTTTCATACAGTTTTGACATTAGACATTAGCTGTCTTCTGTGTGTCTTGGAGGAGCACTTTTTTATATTCAATGAGTCTTGATCAATCATAGGTATCTTGGATTGTCTTATACACAATCTACCTAAATGTTTGCTATTTATTGCTTTACTACTTTAAAAAAATCACTGGATGTGCCCAATGAAAGCATTACCTGGCAGTATAAAGGTGCACTAAGCAGCTGGGATTCAGGTTCAGATCTCAGGTGAGCCATGTGAGGAGAACTCAGGCAGGCAACCATCATATTATTATCAACAGTACTGCAGGGCAAAGAGGTTCACTTTATTGCTATGAAATTTTAAGCACAAGAGCACAAAACTTATTTTTTGTATCTGAAAAAATCTGTTTGAAATCTGATAAGCTCAACATCTAAACTAGTTACTACTGCTTTTACTATACATAAAAACGTCCCATTACTTACTTGAGGATGAAAAGTTTCCATAATCATCTCCATAATCGACATTTAATATAACAATAGAACATAACATACATCATTTTTTCTGACATTTGAGCTCAGTTTGCCATATAGTTGTTTTTTTGTTGTTGTTGTTGATGGTTGCCTATGTACTCTAGATTCATGTACATCTCCATTTCAGGCATTGTGAAGGAATAACATCATTGTAGAATGGAATGGATAAATCTGTTTGAAAAAAAGTCATGGTTAGCTTCAGTTCATTTTTCAGCACCGTAACTCTATATTTAAGTCACTTCAGTAAATGACTGGCTTTGACTGTATATGAAACATCTGTTTCATGTAAAATCAAACATACAAGCACACGTTAATTTTTCGATCATTGGATATAACATGGTCTTACCATTTTTTTCAGATACACTGTACATTTTTAGATGCAAAGGTCCTCGTTAACCTGTCTTCTTACTCACTCACTCTCCACAAAGGAAAACTATTAGCTACTTGAGTGCTTTTGTGTGAATGTGACATGTACCCGCACCAGCAGAGTCTTAAAAATGTATGTTTGCAAACACTAATTCTGCATATATCCCACCCTGTGTATGTATGCAAACCAAAAAATGCTGCTGCCATTGCAGTACAACAGCTGTTTACTAATTTCAGAAACTTACACTCCTTCAGAAGTCATTTTTTTTTAAAAATCCTAAAAAAATTCTCCTTAAGTCCTACAACAGAAACAGACCAATAAAAGAAATATGATTATAGGGAAGAAAGGAGTAATATTACTATGTGAAAGTGATAAATAAATCTCTGCATGTCCCTGTAGGCTCTCCATACCGAGACAAGATCACCATAGCGATTCTGCAGTTGCAGGAGGAAGGGAAGCTGCATATGATGAAGGAGAAGTGGTGGAGAGGAAATGGCTGCCCAGAGGAGGAGAGCAAAGAGGCGAGTGCACTGGGAGTGCAAAACATTGGGGGCATCTTCATCGTGCTGGCTGCGGGCCTGGTCCTCTCTGTTTTTGTGGCTGTAGGGGAAGTGCTGTACAAGTCCAAACAGAACGCACAGATTGAGAAGGTAAGAGTGAATGCTTGAAGAAGGTCTGTGCACTGAATCTGCATTGACTCTGCACTGATTGGGTTTTGAATTTGGTTTAGTAAAGTATATTCTTCCTAAGAGAAGAGAGACCACTCAGAAACAGAGCACATCAGCAAAAGCTGAAGAGACTAAAAAAGAGGAAAATAATTCCAACTTTATAATAGTGCTACACAGTGCTGCACAGCGACCCTATATGCAATCAGTGAATAGGAATACTTAATGCCTGAATATGAGCTGAATCTCCAAACTTTAACTGATGTGTCTTCGATTCCTCTCTACATCCTGTACCTGTGAGTTGGAAATCAATCAGTGTCCGGCATTTTTCAGTTCTTTAAGCACATGTGGAATAAGTAAAAAGGAACTCTACAAAATTGTTTCCAAAATTTAAATTCAAAAAAATGAATTTTTTTTTTTGAAAATAACCTATAACAAGTGGTTTTCGGCAACAATAGGGTCTCAGCATGTGTATCTTCTTGAGTTGCTCCTCATGAAGCTGATTTACACAATGATCAAGAGTGTGTAAAACTACATCAAGACAAAGAGGGGCTAATGTCTAAAGGAATCTAAAAAAAATCCTTTTTTGATTTGTTTAACACATATTTTACACAAGAAACCCATCTTCAGTTATTTTGGCTAACCAGGCATCCGTACAATAAAATACTTGCTATGCCACTGGTACAGAACTAATGTAGTGTAATGTAGTGTTTTTCTGTTTTATTTGTTTGTTTGTTTGTTTTTGCAACATTTTATTTATTATTATTATTTGATCAAGTTAAATTGGACAGCTGGATGAAAACCTAGCTAGTGTCATCTAGAGAGGTAAGAGATAGAGAATTGCATTTCAGAACAAAGTAGGGGATTACATCTAACTAAAGATAGTTGTTAAGCTTTTAGCCACATAGAGGTTTAGCAATCATAATAAGTATAGGCATTCAAATTACACTTTGTTAGGACCCCTTTTTTATAATACTTTAAGTATCAATTTCTAATGAACCCACTTTCTTGGTATTAATTAATCAACATTTATTTCTAAACAGATATTAACTAACAATCACCTGTCCCTTGGCATTTTAAAAATGCCTAAAGTTATATGGAAACTTAGGTGGCTGGTTATTATTGTGGTAAATTGTTATTCACACACTCGCTCACCTCTTCTTTCCTTTTCATCCTCTTCCCTCTCCTCCTCTGCAGCGGTCATTCTGCAGCGCCATGGTGGATGAGCTCACTGTGTCTCTGAAGTGTCAGCGACGCCTCAAACAAAAACCACAGCCTCCCGCCATCGTCAAAACAGAGGAGGTGATAAACATGCACACCTTCAATGACAGAAGACTGCCAGGGAAAGAGACAATGGCCTAAGGGTCATCACCTTCCCACCTCTCTCTCCCTCATGGGATAAGTCCGTTAGGGGCGCAAGAGAGTCTAGGACAGAAGTGCATCCCACAATGCCTTTGGGTCCACCCTGGAACGCTCCAGCTTTCGTCCCAGAGATGTTTCCTGTGGAAATCCAGATACCTGGGCATAATAGATCTGCAAACCTTTACTGAAGTGCATAGGCTCTTTTGCCAATCAAGCTTCTTCAGCAATGTATGGAGTTTCTTTCACACAGAATGAGATTATACTACTCGTTTTTATCATGCATTTCTCCATTCCAGCAGACGGTCAACACATAACTGGACAGAGAGCTTCACAGGGTGAAGATTAGTGCCATAAGTCACCACTTGTTTAATTTTTCATAGTTGCTTTATTCAGTGTAACAGGAATATTTAGAAAGCAGCCTGTAATGATCAAATTCATTACGTTTTGGGTCAGTTTTTAACCACAACCAATCAAGTTAGGTGTGAAACAAAAACAAAAAAAAGTGAAAAAAATCAGATTTGACTGCTTGGCTAAACTTAATCTAATGCCAGATTCATCCCCAGAACTGTGCAAAATGAAAATTTCAAAAGGCAGTAGGCATGTTTTATTAACAATTTTATTAACATAAAACATCATGACAGTAAATATTGTATTCTAGTTCAATTAAACTGATTTCTGCAAAGTTTGGCTAAATTTCAGTGAATCAGATTGTTTGTTTCCGCAACATAAACAGAAACACTTTTCAATTTTTTGGTATTTGGTGTATAGAAACCTCTGGCCCTAGACCAATGCCATTTCACCAAACATCACCACCACCTCTAAACACTGATTTTAGCGATGTCCGTCTGGCAAACTGCATCTACAAACATTAGGTCCACACATTCATACTGTGACCCACTAATGCATTAGCCAAGTTACCGCACAGTACAGTTTGCAGGTTCAAGCTCATTTTCAAGTTTATGTCTAAAACTTTTCAAAAAGGCCAAAATGTTCCAACAGATGTTGCTACACCAAGGCATCGAAGGCTTTTGCTGGCTAGCTTTGTGAATATGCCTTGGTATTGTCATGGCTAGACAAGTACACAATATGGACAAAAGTATGGAGACACACCTCTTAATCATTGAATTCAGGTGTTTCATTCAGTCCCATTGCCACAGGTGTAGCTATGCATTCTGCCTTTACAAACATTTGTGAAAGAATGGGTCTTTCTGTAATTGGATGCCACCATCGCAACAAGTCAGAAATTTTGTCCCTTATATTCCACATCACATTGGTGTCGCCGAGTGCTGAGGCACACCATGGGTTTCCATGGCCAAACCTTACATGGACATATGCCACTGAACTCTGGAGCAGTAGAAATGTATTCTGTGGAGTGACTAATCACACTTCTCTGGCAGTCTGATGGATGAATGTGGGTTTGGCGAATGCCTGGAGAACGTGACCTGTCTGACACAGAGTCCTGACCTCAACCCCATCCCACACCCTTGGGAAGAACTAGAACAGAGATTGCGAGCTAGGCCCTTTCATCCAACATCAGTGTCTGACCTCATAAATGCTCTTCTGGATGAGTGGGCAATAATTCCCATAGACACAATTCAAAATCTTGTAGAAAGGCTTCCCAGAAGAGTGGAATCCGTTCTAACTGCAAAGGGGAAACCAGCTCCATATTAATGCCTATGGATTTAGAATGGGATGTCATAAAAGCTCCTGTAGACTCCAATACTTTTGTCCATATAGTGTATAAGTGTGAAGATAATCAGAAGTTGACATTGCATTACCAGCAATCCTGCTTGTGCTTTTCATTTTTGTCACCATACCTCACAACTGGAATACAGTGAATGAAACGATGTGACATGTAGGTCAAAGTACAAAAGGTTACCCCACCCTACTACTACTCCTTATGGAATGATCAGTTCAGATAAGTTAAGTCAAACTTAAATCAAAATGGCCCTTTTTTACCTTAATCATTCATGTCCCACATATTCAGCATTTTATCATTCAAAAAACAAAATTCTTGTTTCCCTGTGATCTTTGATTGTAATGTGATGACTTTTGGCTGCCTCTAAAACATCTTGTGAAATCCATGCACCAGTGGACAGGGAAAAATATTATTAACCTACCCTAAGCTAACCTTTTTTGGAAATACATCACAGTGTAGAAGTTGGTTATGATTTCTGAGTTATGTTGATTTTAAGTAACCTCTCTTTTGGGTCTGAGTCTTAGTGAACATGTTAGTTTGGGTGACTCTTTTTTGCTACTTGGTAAGATTTTAATAAGACAAGCCTGCGTTTTGCTTGTTTCCCCAAAACATTTATTTGGCAGAGAGAGTGTTCAGTATAATGAATGCTCTACCATTTAAGAATCAGCCTGGTGCTAATATGCTGTTGGGCAACCCAGCCCTGGACAGTTTATGTAATTCAGTTTTTTTTTATTCTTTTGGTATATTATGTGAGATGGCATATATCAATGCAAAATTGCATATATCAATATAATACATGTTGTACTTGGATAAAGATAACACTGAGTTAGTGGAGAATGATCTGAAATGTTTAGTTTAGGGGTGGCACAAATAACATGCTCACTGCTTTGCTAGCTAAGCCTCCAGCTCTGGTGATAGTATTCTCCACATCCATAATCACAATAGATTATGAGTCATTGACACATAGTATAATGAACCATTACAATTATTCAGCCCCTAATCTATAAATCATAAAAACATCATGTTTCTATAGTGCACACTCAAATTCAAGTGAAAGCATGCTATTTCCATCAACTTTTTAGTTAATACTGTCTGGGTGCCAGCCATACCATTACTCAACATCACTACATTACACTGCAGGCTCCTGTGTACCATCCGTTGGTCAAATGAGACATAGTCCACCAGATTGTAATAAAAAAAAAAACATAATTTTATTTACACATTCTGGGCTCTAAGTGAAGGTTTAAGTGCCAGATTGTACATTGCTTTTGAATGGCTTTAAGTCCTCTCCCATTAGCTAAATTCATTCAACTTTTCATGTTTTTTTTTTTTTGTTCGTTTGTTTTCACCATGTAGTTTACCAATGCCTTTATCAAGTTAAGTCATTGTAAGAACGCAAGAAAGCATTTTGTACTAGCATCTACCTTATGTGTTTGAGAAGGGTAGCAGGAAACATCTTGATTATTTTGGCTGTGTTCACAGAAATAATTTCTAACAAAATATAGCATTTTTTGTACAGAGACAATTTTGTAGTAATTTCTATTGGTGCGGATGACCGATGTAGCCTACTGTATGTGTAACGTATTCTTTTTAACGCCTCAATGATGCACGTTAAAGCCTGTGGTTTAAATGCCTAGTGAGACTGGTATTCTCTGTTTCTCAGTCGTTGATCATCATTTTTATTGTTTTACCAGTGTATTTTGTGGATGTATGTGTCTTAGGCAGATGGAATCACTTTTTGAAGTGGCAACATAAAAAAAAAACTCAAGAACATGAATTTGTTGTCGGATAACCATTAAATATTTTCAAAGTGGGTTTAAATCATCTGCCAGAGTGATTGCCATTTTGGGAAGGGACAAAATCCATCAGGTTAATTGATGCTAATGACCATTTATTTTTTATTTAAAAAAGTAAAGCAGAGAATTTGGTTGTGTTTAGTCTAATTGGAGCATATTTTGTTTACTGCACTTAAATATCTTAAGACCTAGGATGACAAACACTGCCAAAACCCTAGCATTTTAAAGAAAACAAATGTTCCTGTACATTCCTTATTTCCCATTGACTTTCTTGATGTCATTACCCTTTGTATATGATAGTTATAATGCACAATATCAAGAGAAACTGAGAATGATTAATACACCCTAATGCACCCAAGTGTGTACTAAACACTCAGATGCATCCCCAAAGGGCCTGAACGAGATGTGCTGACCTCTTATCTAAGAAACCAAAAGAATGAGGACGCTTCAAACCCCAGCCTGAAACACAATGAATTGGCTGACCAGACAGAAAACAGGTATGTCTGGTCACCTTATACTATGAGCTGGAGCTGTCCCCAGAAATGACCCCATTTTTAACTTTTTAATTATGAATGAAGCGCCACACACATTGAACGGCAACTTAAATTCAGAGGTGTACGGCCACATTTTTAGCGCATTTTTAGCACACCGCCTCGCGCTGTGTACAGTGGGTCAAGTATAAACCTTGGGTCTGGCTATTGGGCCACGAGTCTTTTTACTGCAAAAATATTTAATATGAATTATAGGTTCATACAACCACTAAATCGTTTGTGGTAAACATACCCCGCCTCAGCCTGAGTTGCTAGACTTAGTGGCTTTTGAGACCTCTTTTACTCAGTGACTATTTCTAAAAAGCGATGAAGGGGGGAAAGCAAGAAATATTGTAATTTATTCCCATGCATGCTGCTCACAGTAAAATTAACGTCAATCTCAGTCAGCAGCTCCTCTGGCAGCAGTGTCTTTCGCTCTCTCCACACAGTGCACACACAGGCAGGAGTGGCTCAATATGGTTTCAGGGAAACAGCAACGATTGTGTGGGATGCTGCTGAAATCTATTGAACCATTGTAGTTTGATTGTTTTCTTTATGGAGTGTTCCATAATTTATCATAGCTTCACTCAGCATGGTAGGCTACTGTTTGATTTTATGACACAATTTACTAAGTTACTTTGTACCCAATTTTATCAGTAGGACTTCATCATAGTTTCTTTCAGTATAACCATGGTCAACATACATGAAACTGGAACTGTTCCCCCCCTTTTTTTGTTTCACAGATAATAATATTGCATATTTTAATTATTGTATTGACTATTGTATTGACTAAGTATTGACTGCCGAGCTGGAAATGTCCCCAGTTTTCATTTCAGAAATCTGGTCACCTTAACAGAGAATATGTTGTGGTAAAGGAGGATGTGGATGTTGTGGCAGGAAACTCATCTTAGCCCTCTACTACACACATTTTGATGACACTTGATAAACTCCTCCTAAAACTGTCAGACTGACAGGGTCAAGTTTCCACAAGCCTGGAGTTACCCAGTCTGCCAATCCAAGAGCAACTGCTGTAAGACCATTGTGCACCAATTCTCTTAGACCTCTCATCTGCTGGGATAAGCAACATGGAATTAAGAAGTCACCACCT